CTCTGTTACACCAGGGGGTGCTGTGAGTGGATGATCTATAAGAGTATATATGAGTATATAGTGACACAATAGATGACAGCCTAGGAAACCCTGTGGGACAGTCCTACTCTGTCACACCGGGTGTGACAGTGAATTGGAATTCAATCAGGACCAGCTTCAGCATTCTCTGGGAGTTCTGGTTCACCTGTAACCTGTGGTGATTAGCACCAACACTTGGTCCCCTTCCCTGCTCTTTGTGCTAATTTACAGGACACTCTTGGGGATTCTGCCACAAGTCCAATCATGTTGGCTCCCACTTGTTGGCTCCCACGAGTGAAGTCACAGGCAGGTTTAAGCATCGGTGCCACATGGCATCAACATTGTGGCTTCGACAAAGGCAGGAGAGTCTGGGGTGCTCAGTATTGAGTGAAGGGCACAGAATTTGAATTTGTGATGCAACATTTCAGGGCACAGACTAGGTTTCAAATGCTTTACTTTGGAGTGGAAGAGAGGAATTAATCAGTTTGATTGTGCAACGGGGCTTCAAAATGTTCGTGGAAAATGGAATTAAAAGATAATGGAATTTTTCCATTAAACTGTTGAAGCCTTGTCGTAGGTATATTTTTAGCAATACCTGTTTTAAAATCTGTCCTAGCAGATAGCTTACATCTTTGGTGAATTTATCCCTACCCCAAACTATGTGAAGGGCCAGAGTTCCATGGATAAAGAGGAATCACAGGTATTTCAGAGGCAAGATCATTTTATTGTCCCAATTAGCATTTTAAAGACACCCTCAGGAACAGAGAATACAGTGATGAGAAACTGGGCTTTGATGAATGCTCTGGATCAGATAAATGAGCATAGTTACTGAAGATACTAGTTTTTCCTGAGATCATTCGGTCATATATGGGTTGTAAATCATATCCTTAAATACTGACTTTAATATTCAACTTCTTACTCTTTTGTGTCATGCCATTGCTTTGCCTTGTAGTCTTCTGTTACTTAGAAAAGAAAGTCCATATAACTGTGTAAAATAACTTGACCCTGTAGTAATAAGAGATATTCAGCTGTATAATCCTAGTCTCTAGTATAGAGAAAGGGACCCTGGTAATGTAGTGCATTAGGAGCTGGACTGCTAACTACAAGGTCAGCAGTTCGAATCTACCAGCTGCTCCGCAAGGGACAGATGATGCTTTCTGCTCCCAGAAACCCCATGTAGGGTGGCTATGTGTCCGAAGTGGCTTGACACCACCACTGAGGAGTTTGTATGGTATTTTGGAAATATGTACACACAAGAGGTCAGTGTGCAGTTAAGTGTATAAAGTTTGATCAAGACAAGACATGCCTAGGGATTTAGAAGAAAAAATAAGGTGTGCTGCAGGAAGTGATAATGTGCACAAAATAAGTGCGTAGAGAGGAGGGTGAGATGAAGTATGGAAGCGAGAATTTAAAGTCCGTTCATTGAGATACGCTTTCTAACTGCTTTGGTTGTGAAGGAAGACAATCCACGTCACATGACTGAAGCTAAAGGAAAAGGCATTAGTTTATCCTCTTTTCTGTGAAGTCAGAGCAGGACTGCCCGCAGGCTTCCCGAGACTGCCGTCCTGGGAGAAGCAGATGTCTCATCTTTCTCCGGCTGGTGGGTTAGAACCGCTGACTTTTCAGTTTGTGGCTGAGCACCTAAGCACAGTGCCACGAGGGCTCCTCCAGTAGTGTAGACGATGAGCAGTCTGGCGTCCTTGCTGGACTCGGTTTCCTGTCTTCTCAGCACTGCCCTTCTTGTGTTGACTGAGTGTCACGCTGTGCACGGCACCAGGGTCCTCCCTTGGGGTGGTTCATTCCCACTCAGGGTGACCCCACAGGGCTCCTCGACTGTCATCTTTACGGGAGCAGATCACTAGGGCCCGCTGAGTGGGTTTGAACCACCGACCTTTGGGTTAGAAGCCAAATGTTTATAATCATTATGCCACCAGGATTTCTCTCTTCTGAATATGGTGACGTCACTGTGGCACAAACGGTGAAATGCTGGGACCACTAACCTAGCATTTGTTGGTTCAAACCACCCAGAGGTGCCTCAGAAGAACGCTCTGGTGATCCGCTGCTGAAAGATCACAGCCCTGAAAACCCTCTGGGACCGTCTCCTAACACTTAATTATACATTTTCATCTTGTATCAAACTGTAAAGAAAAAACAGAACAACTTCGTTACAAAGCTTTAGGTGTTTAGAAAGCATTTTCACATTCGTTTTGACGTGGAGCCACTCTGTGAAGGTGGGCAACAATGATTCTTGCTCCGATTGAATGGTTGAGAGAAGGGAGTTGTTGGTGAGACTCAGGATTCCTCCCTCAGGGCTGAACACTGCCCTGGTCCCTACACCTCACTTCCTCCATTCAGTCGTCAGAATTCAATCTGGGGCCAATAAGTTTTTTTGTTTTTTTTTCTATCTCTGGAAAAGGTAGATACAGAAATCTTTTTTTATGACCAGGAGAAGCGTTTATATTACTCTTGGATTAACGACAAAATGGTTTTTATGTAAGTCAGACTAAATGGAAGGTCTGTTTTCCACAAACATTTCATCTCTCCACAAACAGAGCCTGTTCAGTTTGCTTTAAGAGTAACAACCCCGTATCACAACTTTACGGCGTTTCAAATAAAGTTAGGAATTTGATTTTTATGATGGCTGAAAATATCATAAAACTAGTGGTTATGAGAACCAAGAAATACCTCAGCGAGTCCTTAGAAAAATTGCAGCAAAGAACCAAAAGGGGGCATTTGCTCAGGGGCTGAATGGCGGTGAAACCCTCTAGGGGACCCCGAGTGGATTATTAGATGTTATCTTTCTCATTGGGCTGTTGAGGGTGCGGATTGTTTTTAAAGTGGACCAGTCGCATCTAACTGAGCCGTTTACTGTCCTCGCTGTCCGTGCAGACTCCGTTCTCTCTTTATTACCTCATTTTGGAGCTGTGATTGTTCTGTTTTAGACCTGAAATTGGCCTAATGCTATGTACTGCCATGGTAAGTGGGGGCTTTGTTTTCGCTTCCTTCTCTGGATCAGGCTGGCTAGAAATTTATCTCCGTTCTTGGAAGAAGTTCACAGTCAATTTCCAGGAAGAAAAATGGGTGTGTAGATCCCTGCAAAGGACAAAAAACTCATCTTTTTCCAAAAGTAGACTCACCTCCAGCCTCGTCAAGTGAGGCTTTCAGACAGCTGTTTGTCCACGTCCATGTTTCCTTCTGTTTCCTTCAGTTCTCTGTTCTCTGGATGTTCCATGTTTTCCTACTCTCTGTACCAACTGGTTCACCTCACATTAAATCTGGGGTGAAGTTATGAGATCCCCAATTCCAATGCCCCGAGCACCCCACCTTGGACATCATTCACTACACCGCCAACCCACTGCCATCAGTGAATTCGGACTCATAGTGACCCCATAGGGTTTCGAGGGCAGACCGTCCCATCTTTCTCTCTTGGAGCTGTCCCCACAGCATCACCAGGACCTGCTTCAACATTAACCAGGGCCCCCTCATCCAACCCCTGCCTCATAAGTGACCATACATGCTGCTGGATGCTGTCAGGTCAGTTCTGACTCGTAACAACCCCAAGGTGGTGCTGCGGTCGGCAGTTCAACCTTGGATAACCTATGAGTCAGAACCGATTCGACAGCACTTAACAACATCATAGGGTTCCCAGGCTGTAACTCTTTACGGAAGCAGAAAGCCTCATCTTCCTCTTGTGCAGCAGAGGCTCAATTCAAACTGCCGACCTGATGCTTAGGGCCCAGTGGTTAACCCAGGAGGCTCCACATACCAGGACGGAGGAACTCCGAGGGAGGGTTGTCATTCAGTTTAATTTCATTCCAAACCATGCTCAATTCCAGGTGTGGGTGTCATTCACAAGACGCCTTCCCTGGGATCCAGCCCCCTCCCTAATCAGCTGACTCCTTCCCTGGGATCCAGCCTCTCCCTCAGCTGACTCCTTCCCTGGGATCCAGTCCCCTCCCTCCTCAGCTGATGATAATGAGATCATTTAGGCTGAAGAGGCTACCGGCTCCTTTACCTGCATGTCTATTATGCCAGCACGGCCGCCCTATGCTGAAGGCTGCTCTCCCTCCATTACACACACACACGGCTTCTGGTTGGGCTGGGATGGACTGGGGTTCACAGAGAGCTCGGGGAACACTGTTAGACACACCACCTCCACCAATCTGCCTGTGTCTGCTGATGCCATAGGGGGTTTTGGGGGTCCAAGAGCACTCCAACAATAGAGACTATTGGAAACTTGGAGCACGCAGCTGCGTTGGCTGGGCTCCCTTGGCCACCCTTGGAGTCATTGGCGCTGGCCTAACTCTCCTCTTTCTCATTTTATGCCCCTGCCAGACCACCGCTCTTGATAAGGAGAGGCAGGTTTTCCGACGAAGACGCTACCAGGATGTGAGGGCGCGGTACAAGGCTCAGCCGGCACCCCCAGAACTCAACTCAGAATCGGAAGATTACTCCCCCAGCTCCTCCGAGACTGTGCGTTCCCCCAACTCGCCCTTTTAATGAGACCCTTGTCCTGGAAGCCCGAGCTTAACCCTTTGAGACTGAGGTTTTCCCAATCCACGTCCAGTGGTGGTACCATCTGATCTCTTTGGCCCCCAGAGATGCGGGTAACGGTTCCCTTTGCTGAATGAGATGACATGTGGGTTTGGGTTTTGTTGGGGGGTGGGGGGGACAGGGATGGTGACTTGCTGCTACCAGGGTGCTCAAAGGGTTAAGACGGATGCGCCATTATTGTTACTATTGGTATTTTTGTTAGAAGCAGGGATGTCTGTCTGTCCAGCCAGGGTCAGCACATGCGAACCCTCTGAGTGAAGAGGTGTCTACTGGAAACATGTTCTAGGGAGCTCTCCAGGTCTTGGGTGACTACGCACATGCTTTTTGATTTGGAGGTGATGAAGGGGTGTCGATTAGGTACTGAGATGTCTAGATGAGGGAACATCTGGAAGAGTATTTTGCTTGTCCCTTTACATGAGTTTAGACAAAATAGAATGGCAGGTTTCTATTTAGGCATAAGCATGCCTCCTTCACAGAGGCTCTGATGGAACAGTGGTTAAAGACTTGGCTGCTAACCAAAAGGTCCATGGTTCGAACCCATCAGCCACTCCACAGGGAGAAAGATGTGACCATCTGCTCCCGTAAAGATTTGCCACCTTGGAAACCCAATGCGGCGGTTCTGTCTGTCCTATAGAGCTGCTCGGAGTCAGAGTGGACTCAAGAGCAGTGGGTTTCCTCTTCACAATCCGACAGAGAAATCATTTTGTGAATAGAGGCGTGGTTGTCACTTACAGTGGGAACTGGATCCCAGATGGAAGGGATTGGTTTGTGACAGACAACAGACTGACCTAGCAAACAGCCCCCCTCCCCCCAAAAAAACTGTCTCCATGTGAAGATGTGCTGACAACGCCCCCAAATGCTGCTTCTCCATCTGCTGCTAGTGGACCCTCGGGACCACCATATCCCACATTGTGTTCGGTGAGGTAGGGTCTGTCCATCCTTCATCTGTGCTGACCAGAGCAGTATGTTGCCAGGAGATCCCTTAATAGGTATCGTAATAGGGTCGGGATCTCACCTGGTCTCTCATGCACTGCTGCCTGAGAATGCTCCGGGAGAGTCAGGTGCTTTGCAAAGTGGGAAAATTGTTCCAGAATGTTCTAGGGTCATCCTGATGGGTTTTTAAGGAAACATACTTCTGGGAAGCCAACTAAATTTCACTTTCATATTATACCTTTAAGTGGTGGCTGTTGAACATTTTCCTCAATGGACAGATTCCTGTGGCCAACCATGACGTTCCACTCCAGATATGGTCCACATTGTCATTTTCTTGGTATCACTTCCCCCATCTAGAACAAAAGGGGAGACCTACAAAATGCTTCCAGAGTAAAACTTCCACTCCTCAAGGTGCCCTTGAGTCATTTCTGACTCATAGTGACCCTGTTATACACAAAGACTGAAATGCTACCCCATCCTGCACCATTCTCACAATTGTTGTCATGCCTGAGCCCATCGCTACTGCCACTGGGCCAGTCCGTTTCCTTGGGGGTCGGTCTCTTCTTAGCTGACCCTCCATTTTACAAACATGATGTACTTCTCCAGGGACTGGTTCCTCCTGACAATGTGTGCAAAGGATTTGAGACAAAGTCTCACTGTCCTCCCTTCTAAGGAGCAAAAGATGACAGCCTAGGAAACCTTATGAGCACTTCTCGGTCACACGGGGACACTGTGAGTGGATGATCTATAAGAGTATATACGAGTATATAGTGACACAATAGATGACAGCCTAGGAAACCCTGTGGGGCAGTTCTCCTCTGTTACACCAGGGGGTGCTGTGAGTGGATGATCTATAAGAGTATATATGAGTATATAGTGACACAATAGATGACAGCCTAGGAAACCCTGTGGGGCAGTTCTACTCCGTTACACCAGGGGGCGCTGTGAGTGGATGATATATAAGAGTATATATGAGTATATGGTGACACAATAGATGACAGCCTAGGAAACCCTGTGGGGAAGTTCTACTCTGTTACACCAGGGGTCACTGTGAGTGGATGATATATAAGAGTATATATGAGTACATAAGACTCGATGGCACTTAACAACAACAACAAGTGACACAATAGATGACAGCCTAGGAAACCCTGTGGGGCAGTTCTCCTCTGTTACACCAGGGGGCGCTGTGAGTGGATGATCTATAAGAGTATATACGAGTATATAGTGACACAATAGATGACAGCCTAGGAAACCCTATGAGGCAGTTCTCCTCTGTTACACCAGGGGGCGCTGAGTCAAAAATCAACTGCATGTCACCACCATCAACACAAAATGACACTGAACGCATCAGAAATGACTGTTTTCTCTAGAAACTATAAAGGAAAGCAAGACCTCCCTCAGACCAAGGAGACCTGGTGTGGCATAGTCTCGCCTTGGGCCTCAGAACGAAGCTACCTGCAGTTCCATTCTTTCTTCCTGCCACTGCTCTGTCACCTCCGCATTTCCTGTTGACATTAAGTGCTAAGGCATCAAGCACATAGGGCCCCTACATGGCAAAGGACTTATCCCCCGGTGTGAGGCTTGGGTGTCCTTGGGGTAGGCTCCCAGTCTTTCAGCATGGGTCTGGCAGCAGAAACTGAGGGAACTATGAGATGTGATGCGCCAAGTAGAAGTGTTGACTCAGTTACCAGCTGGAATGCCGTCGTTTCCCCCGTCAGTTACCAGGACCTTGTACAGGAGCCATTCCTGGACTGGAGGGCTTACAGATAAGAATGGGACCTGCTGATTCTGTCTGCACACCCAGAATGCTTTGCTTTTACATCAGTGCTTCCCTGCCCCTCCCCCTTTGTTTCCTCTTTCCTACATTTTTGAGATAGTTGAAGTTTAAAACAATTAAGTGGTACTCTTCAAGGCATTTCTGTAACCAAATCGATGCTATGTTTTATTTCCCTTCTCATAGGACAGATGTGTCCCTGGTGGCATCTCTGGAATTATCCATTTAATCCTTGCCAGTCTGGACTACTTCCAGATTTTCCTTCTCTCCAAGTATTTAAGATAGTTCCTATGAGGGTGGCCTGGGAGCGGGGACCGGCTTTCCTTTCTTGTCATACGAGCCAACCGTATGGTATTTTCAATTTTAAGAATCGCCTTTTCCGTTGGGTAGTAGACTAGTTAAACGAATACTCCATTATCTGCATCGTGTAATGTTTCTATAGATGGGAACCATTCATATGAATGAACACATCTTGTCTTTTTTTTTTTTTTTTCCCTACATTGTAGCAGAAATTGTTTGATTCTTCCTGATCAATGGATATGTGATTTGCTCCAGATTGTTAGAAGACAGTGTTTAAGATTTCAGTCCTTGGAAATGTTTTACAGTAGCCCTCATCTAATTTACACGTGGTGCATATTAAACTAAGCAGAGAAAAAATGTGAATAAACTGCTGAAAGTGACTGGTGTTTTGTTTTCACTGGGAGCGGGGTAGGGGAAGACGGATCCCTCACACCACCTGCTGGGCAACTCACTCCCTGGGTGGTGACCGACAAGGCCATCAGATTTTGCAGACAGGATATATCCATGAATGAAGGCTGAAATTGCAGGCCTTTACCCCTGAAGACGTGTGTCAGCTAAAAAGAGAAAGGAAAAGAAAAATCGACTCGGAGCTGCCAGGTGACCGGGGCTCACAAGCATTAAATCATTGGTGTTTGTTGGTCAGCAGAACCCATTAGAAGACATGCCCGCTTCCCCCCACCTCGGCACCAGGCTGAGGCTGCCTTGTGCTGAGGGAAATGTTTCGTAACATAATTGCATTGCCCACTGGCCCTTCTCTGGGTAAGGCTCGGTCAGCAGTTCCATGACAAACCTCTATTCTCAAAGCCTCTTAGTTTGACCATAAAAAGAAGTACTCCTGGGCTGCAGTTTGCTATATAAGGGTGGGGGGCTCTGCCCAACTTGCTCAAGAAAAACCCACTGCCATGGATTCAATCCAACCCAACGGACCGCCTGTTAAACAGTTCCTGAGATTGTCAATCTTTACGTAAGCAGACAGCCTCATCTTTCCCCCACAGAGTAGCTAGTGGGTTTGAACTGCCGACCTTGTGGTTAGCAGCCTAGTGCTTATCCTACAGAGGCAAAATGGAAACTGGTGGCTTTAGCGTAATGCTTCCTTCACCCTGCCCGTATTGTATGTACAACGTCTTTTGTAAATCATTGATTTTTTACACTATCTGATGACTCTCTTTTTCCTCTTGTCCAATCAAAGGTCCAAAGGTCATGGTTCCCCTCCTGTGGTCTCTCACTCCCACTGGGGACCAAATTCTCTCAACACACCCTTACTTTGCCATGATACCCCACTGCCAGCCAGTGGATTCCGACGCATCGTGACCCCACAGGGGCAGAGCGCAACAGCCTTGTAGGGTTTCCAAAGCTGCCATCTTTATGGGAGCATCTTTCTCCTGAAGAGCGGCTGGTGGCTTTGAACCAGTGTCCTTTCAGCTAGCAGCCAAGCACTTGGCTCCCCGTGCCACCAGCTTCTTTGGCGGAGAGTATGGAAGTCTTTGTTGCCTGTTGAGGAAAACAGCAATCACATGCACTAACATATTGAACAGCTTTGCCAATCCAGAAATGTGCCGGGCAGAGCACAAAACGACGTGCCTTCAACTGCTTTTGATTGAACAGAAAATAAGCAAAATTCTAGGTCACTGCTCGACATTCAGGAACCCCAAGCAGCACTTTGCCATGGTGCTGGGACGTAGGAAAGTAACAAATGGGGTTCCAGGATCCTCAGAGGAAATTAGTTTGTATGTAATTACATCCTCGGGGGGAAGGGAGGCTTCTAAGCCAGTCTTTTATTTTTTTAATTCATCTCACATATGAGACCATCCAGCCAGTAATGAGAAAGGTCGTAAACTGGTGGGAAACAGGAAATTCAATGTAGAGGCTTAGAATGCCTTGGGTTGGGTTCATTTTTTTCTTTTTCTTTTCCGTCTTTTTTGGGGGAGGGTTGGGATTC